AGCAGCCAATCAGCACTCATTCTCTTTGCTTTAGGCTCGACAATTACTGAATTCACCATGAATTTGTCTATATGGACTTGTATTTATAGGTAGTCCTTACCATGGCAATAGGGTCTGGAATTTCTTTCACTAAGTGATGCAGTTATAATGCACAATGTGACATGACTGCATAGCTTAGCAATGGCAATCCCAGCATTCCCCATTGCCATTGTTAAGTGACGACCCCACAGCTTCCTGTCAGCTTCCAAAAAGCAAAGTCAGTGGGGAAATTGCAAGTCTTAGGCAGCTCGTAAACAGGCTGGCAGACAGATATGTGGCTGCTGCTGGGTGGGAGTATGTATACAAGGGTGCAGGGGGTAGCCATCAAGGTGGGTAGCTGCACCACTGAGGTAACTTTGAGGATACAGATAAACCTCAAAGTGGCCTCAACAACTCTCTAAATAAAAGAATGCAAATGACCAGCTGTCTGCAAGAATTCCCCACCATCCAGTCAGAGCTGAAGAAGCTTCTTGGATGAGAAGTGAAACATCTTCAAAGAAAAACAAGAAAGTCCAGTTGTCTGTTGAAAAAGCACCTTTGGGTTCACAAGGGCTGTTAACCTCTTAGCCATAATTACTAAGCTCCATCATCTTTACTAATCATTTCTATATTGTAGGTATTGCAGTGTCTTTCCAGGACTGAGCATATAAAAGTCATGCTCCTGATACATGTAAAAGTAAAATATTTTTCAAGTCCTTTATCCATAAACCCTAACAGAAAAAGTTTCTGGTCTGAATTGTATTTTAATTTCCAAGATTTCAAAGTCTTGAGAAGTTTGAAGTTTCAAGTTTATACTTCATTCCCCATATTTCTAAAGATCCAGGTTCAACAAAAAATTACTTTTTGCATGAATGTGCATTGTTTCCATGTCTTGTGTTCATCTGATTCCATTTCTGGAACTTGAGACCATAGGTTAATCAGAGATACTCTATATAAAAGCATTTGTGTCCAAACAGCTCACTAATGCTTTGGCTAAGCTCCATCCCCAGTGACAATTTACAGGAATCAGATGTCATGTAACACTTGCTGGGCATCCCAGGATCAAGGGCATAATAGAAGAAGTGACAATGATATGGTTCTAGCTGACATGACACCTGAAAGAGCAGTGGTGGACACTGTGCAGGACACACTGCTATGACACTTTCCCCAATTCTGTCAGCATCACCAATAATATTTTCAAATATTTATGCCACATTAGTGTTCTTCTGGATGCATACAGAAATTTTGCTTTTCTCTAGGCTGTTGGATTGGATCATCTGGTTCAAGAGTTGTCAAGTTCTGAATTGAGATACATCTCTCAACCTTTGAAGTGATTTTCCCAGGATTATATTTTCGTAGTGCTGCTCATGAAGGCAGCATTTTCAATGCTTATTATTTATTTACCATATGGCATACAATCTCAGGGAAATCTATACATGCTAGACCAGGGCTTTTCAACCAGTGGTATTGGTACCGCCTGTGGTACATTGGCACTTGGCAGGTGGTACGCGACCATCCTAGAAAAGTGGTAGTGGGGGAGGGAAATGAGCTGAACCGGTGGCAGCACCGCACAAGCCTGAGCGAGAGATGGCTGGAGCTGCAGGGCTGTCAGGGCTCAGCGGAAGCGCCAGGATCAGTGCCGCTTTCCAGCTGATCGGCACTTCTTCAGGACTGTCAGGACTCAGTGGAAACATCAGGATCAGGGACAGGCTCCAGCTGGAGCTCGGCACTAATCCTGGTGCTTCTGGTGAGCCCAGAAGAAGCACCGATCAGCTGGAATGTTGCAGCATCTCCAGGGTCTTGTGATTTACATTCAGATGCTTGGCAACTGATTCATATTTATGATGGTCACAGTGTCCCAGGGTCATGTGAAGTGACCAAAACCTGCTGCAACCATCCAGCAGATGGGAGGGAATAAAAACCAAACACCCCCCATCCCACCCCCACTGCCAATCCTCAACAGAAATGCTCACAACAATGAAAACCTCGGACAGGAGGAAGAGCGCAGCCGGGCAGGCGTCTTGCTCGGCTGTGGCTTGGGGGACACTTTTTTCAGTGCTACTGTAACTTTGAACAGTCACTAAGTGAACTGTTGCAAGTCGAGGACTACCTGTACTTCATCACTTTTTTCCTTTTTTTTCTTTTTTTTGTCATCAAGTTTTTGACACCTTGCTAGGCGACTGGTGGTATTCGGATGTTGCCATATCCTAAAAGTGGTACAATGGGTGAAAAGGTTGAAAAATCCTGTGCTAGACACACAATACATGCTAGACACACAATGCAGTCCTGACAGCCTAGATTGCTAGTTCATTCTGTTTGGTGCTTGCGCATCTACCTTTGGTAGAGCAGAGGAGGAGAACTAGTTTTATCCCAATTAACTAACAGCACTCAGGTTGCTGGCTCTTTGGGGCTCCTCCAATTGATCTCACCTCACTCGCCTTGTGTTGCAATGCCTCACGACTGACCAAGTCCAATGCTGGCTTCCATTCTTAGCACACATGAAAGCAATTAGGTTTTCCCTATTAAAGTGGTACCTAATTATCTACTCACAGTATCGAACTGGTGGACAGGAGCTAGGGATCAAGTGATGGGAGCTCATTTTGTCTCACTGAGCCAGACTCAAACCACTGGAGTGCAGACCATTTCTGGCTGGTAGTTCCAGCATCATTAAGCCACAGTGACACTGCATCCCTTTTTCCAATGCTGAAACTTGCTAGCCATGGTAGAATGTGAATTTAAAAAAGGACTATCCATTAGAATTACACTTAATAATAACGATGAATATGGCTAGCAAAGGGAAGATTTTTTTCCCCTAAAATCTCCTCTTATTCAGGGCCATTTTTCTCCTCTTGAGAATTGGTATAACTTAGTGTTATGACGATCTCTTAATGAGGGATCACATTGTCCATCAGAAAAAATTAATGACTAAATTAGACTTAGATCAGGGACACTATTATGAAGTTATTTCTTTATTAGTTTAACCTATTCAATTTTAAAGGATTACAGAAAGGAATCACCAAAAATATGACTTTGGTTAGGCTCAACTAACTACATTATGGAGGAACTGCACTCAACTATAAATATGTTGTCACTCACTTTTCAAATGCAGAATTTTGTTGAAACTCCTAAGGAAAAGCAATTTCTTGAACATTTCAATAAAAATCTGATACTCTTAATAGAGAAAGAGAGCGAGGGAGAGGAAGGAAGAGAGAGAAAGATTTATCATCATCTCAAAGAATGCCTAGAAACATCCCTGCCATAAATTTGGATAAAACACTGAGAAGTAAAGGAAGTGTTCCCATACATTATGAAATCTATGCAGTTATTCTATATTCTGTGTAAATCCAACACTAAAGTATTTATATGCAAGAATCCTCCTCTGATCCTTTCATAGTAATCAAGTCAAGAGAGAGATGCAGTCAATGCACATGAGTATAGGATTTTAATTACATACTCTTTTTTAAAAAGTGCAATTTTTTTTGTTTAAGTCCTGTTCCACAAATCTTGGATTTACAGCTGTGACACAGCTATTGTCTCCGGCATACACTTCTTTTTCTAATTTTATAATTATTCTGGCCAAATATTTCTCACAGTTGTGAGATGGGACACATATAAAAGGCTTGCATAGTTTTAAACCCCAAAGAATCTCTAAAACTTCCCCAGAACCGAGGAGGGGGGAAAGGAAACTTCTTGACCCCAGCCACCACAATCTTTCCACTATCAGGAAATAAGTTTGGCTCTGTCTACTCAAAGAGTGTTTGTCCCTGTTGTAAACAATATACCTTATAATGTTATTTTGTTTCATGAACCAAAATGGAACAGTTGCTTCAAACAAATTCCATAACCTTTAATGGAATAGCTTTAGGTGTATAAATGAGTCCCAAAATATGATTTCATGAACAGTATTATAAGCAGCAAAAGCCCTATTATGCCATTTATGTCCTGATGAAGAAAAAGACCTTTATTATAGTATAGCAATTTTTTTTCACAATTTAGACTGAATATAACTATTATAGTAAAAACATGTCTGTTGGTGGAAATGTGGTAGAAATAACCACAACTGTTCTAAGTGAGAATCTGTTTCATTTCCTGGCAATTGCCTATCAAAAAGCATGGTATAATAATAATATAAAGGAAAATCCAGGCTCCATATCAGTAACTGACATCCCAAGCCAAATACTAAGCTGTAAACCAAGGTTAGTACCTTTGCCTGGCAAGCCAATCTGAGACACAATAAAAAAAGTGCACCATTTCATTTCATTTCATTTCTAATTGCTATGGCTGCCGTTCCCTCAAGTTTGCAATAGTTGCATTTAATCACAACATAAACATTCCCAGCAAACTCTCTTTTCTGCTGTCTTTCCATGAAATTGTCTTTTCTAATCCCAATCTTGCTCTGGTTATTTTTTTCCCTCTTGGTTGTACACTGTCCAAAATCTTACAACTGGAGCAACTTGTAAAGGCTGTAGATACATACATAAAATGAAAGACAAAGAGGTTTCTTTTACTTACAAAGTACTCTTGAAAATGCTGTTTTTCCCTACTACATTACATTTGGACATTAGTTCCTGCCATTTTATCAGGAAAGAACTTGGCAAAAGCTTGAAGCCTGCTGAAAGTTTGGTACTTGAGATAATATATAAAAATGACAGCCACCCAGATTGAGACCACACAGTAAATTTAAGACTTCAGATAAAAAGGGTTACGTGCTGAGAGCAAAACGGTAGTAAGGAAGAAATATTCACCTTCTATGCAAAGTTATTCTCCTCATTCTATTATTTTAAATCTATGTTTTTCAATCTTAGCAGATGTGTAGACTTCAACTCCCAGAGTATTTGAACATTCTTTAAATGTGTTCCTTTGGATCTTTGAATCATCGCAGGGCGGGGCGGGGGATTTGGAAATCGCTCTCTGCCCTATGATTTACTGCTCTTCCGGCCACAGCATTAAAAAACGAACAAAAAATAGTGCACATCTCCTACAGCTGTCTCTGCATGACAGTGAAAAGGGGAAAGTCCGCCGATGCAATATTTTCGATTTTCCAGCGATGGAATTTCTCAATTTAAAAAATGGCATTACCAATGGATGGAAGGAACAACTCCTTCTCTAACAATTCCCGCCCTTCCCCGAGCAAATCACTCCCATCACCAGCCGCCCCGTCTCTTGATCAATGTAACAAGCAGCTACTCAAAAGTAAGCTTGTTAATTTCAGCGAACCTTACTTCCACGTAAGCGTAAGGTAGAACAACGCGACATTTTCTAAGACCAAAAAGAAATGTAAGATTTAATTGTCGGCTTCCTTAAAAGAAGAATAAGAAAGTAAAATAAAACCATTCTGATGCAAGTAGAATTTAGAGGAAGCTCCCCAATTTCCCTGCATATTTAGCTTCTGCATTTTTATAGGCCAAAGACTGAGTTTCGCTAGAGATCTCTTTTACAGCTGTACGGAGCGCCGTTTAAACATAGGCAAAGGTAAGAAAAATTAAGATTTTTTTTTTACTTGAAGTTTGCTGGGTGGCGGACAGTTGAATATTATTCTTCCAATTAAGCAAACTTCCCAGGGACGGGAACGAAGCGGGGTTATTTTATTGCAGAAGTTGTAAATACAGTGTCATGCATTTTTTAAACTAACTCAACCCGAAAAAGATGACGCAAAATAAAATGTGGAACTAAAGATAGTAACTAATGTTTGTAAATTGCTAATTGGATAAATTGCTCCAAATCAGGTAAAAGTGATTTTTCTTTGGGTAAAGACACACAAACCCATTAACCAATCTCAACGGACATTTTGCGAAGTGATTTTGGGCAATGAAGGAAAATAGGAAGTACCGATGTGTACAATATTAAATTATTAATCTTTTTTAAAAAACTTTTTTAAAGTATCAGCTATGACAAGGGATGTAAAACATTAAGACTTCATGTTGTAAATGTGGTAGATGATGGTGATTTGACACAAAAATCCACTTTCCCCAGTCAGGGAGCCTAAAATTAAACATATGTTGCTGTTGTTTTGATCCAATCCCTAAAGCTACTGGAGGCTCTGATATTTCCAATTCAGACCAAAGCAATCATTATGAAGTCTGAAACAATCATCCAGTTACTCTCTCCATCTGCACTTTAACATACTTTTTATAATCAGTAACACATCTTAAACTTCATAGCAGTGTTTCTCAACCTTGGCAACTTTAAGATGGATCAGATGGGCTGGCTGAATATTGACTGTGGAACTCTGGACTGGTTGAATGTTGGCTGTAAAATTCTGAGTTGAAGTCCACCCATCTCAAAGTTGCCATGGTTGAGAAACACTGCTTTATAGCATGATTCAATGAGAAAAATCAAAAAAGAGAATGAATCAGACTTGCCTGCGTAAATACTTATTAGAATAGAGACATTTTTTCCCCACAGGGAATTCCAGAGACTTCCAAGTTAAAGACATTTTATTCAACTGCTATTGCTAACATTCCCATTTTAGTTTAGGGATATTTAGAGGAAGGGACTAGAAGTGTGGCCACCCTACCTGATCTGGTAGAATAGGAAAGGTGGTCCCAAAGATAGCTAAGCCTTCTGGTCATATGGGGCTTTAAAGGTGATTATCAGCACCTTGAATTGCACTTGGGGGGAAAAATGAAAGCCAGTGCAGTTTGCACAAGAGGTGTTACATGGACAAACCTAATGCCCCTCATTACTGTGTACACTGCTATATTATGAATCAGTGGCAGTTTCTGGTAGTCTTCAAGGATAGCCCTATGTAGAATAATCCAGACCGGAGGTGACCAAGGCATGATTGACTCTGAGCAAGACCTCAGTGAGGCTGGCTATTATAGTCAGAGCTCTTTTGCATGATAGTCATAAGGCATGTCAGACACAATTTTATTTTTCACTGCGGTTGTAAAGCGAAAGCCATGGCTGTTAAGGGAACCCCTTATTCACTGGAGGGGAGGTTTGCCAGAAACTGGAAGTAAATGTTGATTTTTGGCAGAAATATCATAAATCGTGATTACATGACCATGGGATGCTGCAAATGGCAGTAAATGCAGGCCAGTTGCCAAGTGCTTGAAATCTGGTCACATTACCTGGGAGGAGGACTGATATCAGAAACTGAATTGTCCCTTTTCCAGGGTCTGTCATAACACTGAATGGTTGCTAAGGATTGGTATTAAGTAGAGAGGTACTTCCATATCCTTAGTTTGTCTTTTTAACTGAATCTCTGATTAACTTATGATGCAAGTCCTTGATTTGTTAATATCAGACTCTAACATTTCAGAAGTTATAGAACTATATTATCCAACAAGATGCAGCAAGATGCAATTCAGTGGTGAAAAAAATAAAGTCCTGCACTTAGGCAGGAAAAATCAAATGCAAAGGTATAGAATAGGCAGTACCTGACTCAACAGTAGTAACTGTGAAAAGGATTAGGTGTCTTAGTGGACCATCACTTAAGTATGAGCCAGCAGAGTCACTATCATTACAGTGAAATATCATGAGAAGTGATAGTATAGCATTTTATTGACTAGTGAGGCCACACTTAGAATGCTGCATCCAGTTCTGATCACCATAATACAAAAAAGAAAAGGAAAGAAGGAAGGGAAGGAAGGAAGAAAAGGAAGGAAGGAAGGAAGGAAGGAAGGAAGGAAGGAAGGAAGGAAAAAGAAAGAAAAGGAAGGAAGGAAGGAAGGCAGAAAGAAAGAAAGAAACCCTAGAAAGAGTACAGTGAAGAGTAACAAAGATTGTAAAGGGTCTGGAAGCTAAACTGTATGATGAACAATCAAGGGAACTAGGTATTTCTAGTCTACTGAAAAGAAGGACTAAGGGTGACGTGATAGTTGTCTTCAGCACTTGAGGGGCTGCACTGAGAAGATGGGGTTTGACTTATTCCTGAAAACACCTGAGGACAGGACAAGAGGCAACGGGTGCAAGCTGGGTAAAAGAGATCCACCTGGAACTAAAGAAAAATTTCCTGTAAGAATAATTAACTTGCCTTCCAAAGTTGTGGCTGCTCCATTGCTGGAGGTTTTTGAGAAAAGATTGGGCAGCCATTTGCTTTGGGTAGGGGGTTGGACTATAAGACCTCCAAAGTCCCTTTCCTGATTATATTATTCAGGAAAAACTTTACTGAACTTCCAAACAGCACAAACAGTGGTGAGTTGCACTGGTGGTTGTTATCCAACAGTACCTGAAGACCTATATATTCTCCAAATAATGCTACCATCCACTAATGGGAAAAACTAATATTGTACCAGATTACCTCAAAGCCATACAAAATAGGCAAATAGCAATATATGTTTTAAGCCCAGAAAGTGATAAGGTAACATGAGAAAAGAATTCTTCAACTCATAGGCTGGATTCAATATTAATTAAATCATAATATGTTTGGGTTAGGGTGGGTTGGTGAGAACCCAACCAACTGTAATTTGTTCATTATTAAACCATGGTTTAGCATGATGTATGGACTCAGTTATGATTTTGTTTCTTTCCTCATTCCTTCTCTTAGACTAAATTGCTTCTTCAGATATGTCATTTTATAATGCAACTAAATCTTTGACAAAAATGATAGACTCACAAGGAGATTGGGTTCCTGTACCCAGCTTGATAGACCATAACAATTTTAGGCCCCTTTGCCTGCTTCAAAAGAAGATGAAGACATCATGGTGGCAAAGCTGCTCTTATCACAAAACTGAATATCAATTATATCATATGCTGTTACCAGGAAATGACACTTCAAGTTTAGGTAATCTTCAAGAATCTGTCTCATTCATATATTACTTATGGGATTATCTGTCTGTTGCATTTTGAGAAAAGTACAAAAAAATGAAAAGTACATTTTTAACACTAACATTTGTATCACCTGCACTCAAGTATGTACTCAAATTGTGTGAACAATTTTGTCTGAGATTTCCAGAGGCTGAAGGATAAGAGAGTCCTTGAGCTCATGTTTATGAAAATTAGAATAAACAGCAAAGTTGAAAAAATAGATTATTCAAAATCCATTTATGCTATCTAAAACAGATTCAGCAAATATTTTTAGCCTAAGGACTACATATAGAATTAATGATCTACTGAAGCTCTGTAAGGTATGGTTGAGGCTGCAAGTTTGGGACTCATTTTTTCCCCACTGTCATTTAAGGACCAAAACTGATGCTTTCAGTTTGGAGAAAGTAGCTAAGGATTACTTCTGAAAATGCTTAATTTGACTCTGCTAATTTATCACACACTCACCCAAAACAAACAAACAAAAGAACCCAATTTCTCTATCTCCCACCTACACACTGGACCATCCTATTGTTCACTCAATGGCACACAAACAGCACTCAACAACAGCACTGAGGCTAGGCCTGTAGGCCTGGGTCTCAACCTCAGTCCTAGTGTTACCTCTGCCATTCAAAAGGGCTGACTCATACTGTTTCTCAAGGTGCAAGTGCTTTAGGGAATGGGATGGTTGCCCCTGCAATCCAGTGGCCCGCAGGATCTGCTCCATGTACAAAACGTAAGGTGATGTCCTCTTTCTGTTAACAGGCACCTGTGAACTACCCTAGGCTGCTTTGTTCACAGGAGGCCTTCATTCTTAAAGTGGCTTTGGACAATGCTCTTCTGCAGTCTCTGCAACCTCTGAAAACTACATAAAAGCATATCCCATTTTCATACAGTTTCCAGAAGTTCTAGAGGCCATGAAAGAGCATGGCCCTCTCACAATTACTGGAGGGTCTGGCCACACAAGAGCACACCCCATTACCATGCAGCCTCTAGAACTTCTGAAAATTATATAAGAACAGGCCATGTTTTTGAGAATAATTATTGGTGTTGATGAATGCTGGAGTAAATACCAGAGTGCCACCCATAATAATGTCATAGTGTATCATACGTCATAGGTTCATCATCTCTGGTCTAGATGATGCCCATGAATGGCAGGGTGTCAATAGGCATCTCCATTTGTATTATCTTTCCTGATTTATTGTTAGATTGTTTGTTTTGTAACTAGCCTGTCCAATATGGAAAACATTCTATCAGTAGAATGATAGTAGGATTATCTCCATGATAATCCTATGGCCCAACCCAAGCATTCAAAATTCCAAGTATGTTCACCAGCCAAAAAATTGTGAACCCCTGGTCTTGATGTATCTCTGTGTCAGGCGCAAGCAATCAGAAGTATTCATGAATAGTCACAAACAGAAATAGTCATCTATTACAAGAATCTCACCAGATTAGTTATATTCCCTTGGGAACAGTCACATAAGGCTTCAGGGATTCTGGGGAAGATCAGGTCTGTGCTGCTTTCTGCAGTGCAAGGATTCTAAGATCAGCCCCCTCTTAACATCTCCCTCAATCCAGCTGGAGATTCTACCACAATCTCTAGACTACATACTTCGGTTTTCAGAGAGAATGGTTTCTGTGTAAACAGGATCATAATCTGTAACATATCATGATATTCAGAGCAGATACAGAGTGATCACTAATAGCTTGAACAATGTTTGAATCCAATTGAATCCAATCAGACATGGTATAGATGCATTATAAAACTTATGCACTGGAAATCAGGAAAAAAAAGAGATAATTTTGATCTGTAATCTTTTTCTGGTTACCTAAAAGCTGTTTAATATTTTCCTCAAGGCCATATCCATACTCTTTTACACCACCTTAGAATCATTTCCCATCCTGAGTGCAAAGAAACCATTTGGCAAGGTACCATGGGAGCTAACTTCAGGCATATTCCCATCAATGTCCATGGATAGTGTTGACTGATCATAGAGATGTGACTTATGAGGAAATTTCAGATAAAACTTGTGTATAAGATATGGGCCATATGGACTTTTGCTCTCCCAAATTCAGGGCAGCTCTTCCAATGAATCAGATATCCAAAACATCTCCTGCATCTAGAATCCAGATATCAATCCTCATATTCTTCTTTTCTATGTACAAGGAAGTGGAGGAATACATTTAGAGCCTAAGGGACAAGACCAAAGTCCTCACAGCAATCTTGTGTGGAGGGTTGTCACTTATCATGAGTAATGCATGCCTTAAGCATGAGAAAAGGCATAGAAATACAGTCAAAATAATCCACTTGATAACCCTAGAGAGAAAAGAGACAGATAACCAGAACCAAGCTGTGGTCTCACTTTTGGTGTAAAGGAGTATAAGCAATGCCACTATTTACAGTACACAGTGTTAATATCTATAATTAGAGTAAATTAAAGTCCCGTGAGAAGAAAAGAATATATAGGTGCCTAGAAACCCATAGTAAGCTTATTCCATATTATTATCAATGTTACATACCTGTTACAAAGGTCACAGTTGGATTACCTTCTTTATCATTCCAGTGGAAGATGGAATATACTCCAAGAGTTCTTGGAGTATATAATCTATAGCCTTGCATAGTTCAGATCTCTTTTGCAATTTTTCAGCCAGGGGCCCAGTGCATGCCAATAAGATACTTTATTGCATTTATATTCAAATATTTTGATTTCTTATGTAAGTAGGCATTTTCCCCACTAAATGTCCCCACTACATTTCCCATTGACTTATAATCATTCATTTAATGACTGTTGGAAGTTCAACAACAATGAAAAAAGTGACTCACAATTGGCCTTTCACTTACAATCATTGCAGCTTCCCCACAGTCAAGTGATCAAAATTCCAGTGTTTGGCAACCAGCATGTATTTACGACAGTTGCAGCATCCTAGGATCATGTGATTGTCATTGGTGAACTTCCCAAGGGGCTTCTAACAAGCAAAATCAATGGGGGATTCCAGATTCACTTAACAGCATGGCAAAAAAGGTAGTAAAATGCAACTCATTTAACTGCCTTGCTTAGAAACAGACATTCTTTCCAACTATGATCATAATTTGAAGTCTTACCTGTACCTGTCAATCTCTTGCCTATATGCTTCTGTGCTACAGTTACATGTGGCTATTGCTAAGTAATGATTCTTTTAACAGTTGGACGTCTGCAGAAAATACAAGGCACAAGAAATAATAGATGAAGGAGTTCTGGAGTGCGAAATTCAAGAATGGTAGCCACAGGTTGCCCAAAAAGAAGAAATGTCTATGGAGGAATGTACTGTATTTATTTTTACTGTAGAAGCAAATTTTATAAGTGGCAATACATGTAGTCCTTGACTTACAACTGTAATTGAGCTCATAATTAGAGTTGTAAGCCATGAAAATCATAGTCCATCACATGATCATTTTTATAGCAATCCTTAAGTGAACCCTACAGTCATTAAATGAACCCATTGTTCACTATGGGGTGTTTTTTGTCTAGAAACTAGAAGTAAATATTAGTTTCCAGAAAAAAAAATGTAAATTTGTAAATCATGTGACCAGGTGGCACTGCAAATGGTCATAAAAGCATGCTGGTTGCCAAGCACCCAAAATGCAGCCTCATGATGTGGAAAAGGCAACATTCTGAAACATAATTTGTATCCAAAGTTGTCTATGGTTTATTGTAACATGGTTTTCTATATTAAAAAATGATCTAGAAAAAATAGAAGTCTCCTGAGAAGGCCATTGCAAAGAATAAAAGACTGTTATCTTGGCAAATGAATTCACTACCATAAAAACAGTTCTGCAAAGGGGAAAGATCACTAATTAAAACTTAAAACTAAAATAAAATTACATAATTCCAAAGAAAAAGGTAGAGGCTGAAATAAACTAGCAGTCTTTCTAGAAACAGTCTTGACTTGGTGACAAGTATCACAAGATGAAACATAGCCCTTGATATCTACTATCAGAAGTTGCAAAATACTCCGTGTGTCTCAACAGTTCTTGGTAAAAGTAGAGTTGCAATGTTTTTACTCTTAAGCATAGGGGAACATATAAGTAGTTGATATGGAACTATCTATTATTCACAGCAACGATGAAGCAAGTTCTAGAGCACACCCTCACCTTTCAAAGGCACTTTTCAAGAAATGTCAAGAGATTTAAACTGAAAATATATCAACTTGCAAATAGAAGTATTTCCTACTTTCTGGAACTCTTAGTATGAACTGTAGTTAATTAGATAATGCTGATTTAGAATCAGTTTGATTCAATGTCAACAGAATCATTTGCTGCCAGAATTGCTGTTCTCTCATTAAAATAGTTGTCTGCTGCTCTATTTCTATGTGTTTCTATAGTACTTCTAATATTATGATTTTTCTCAATATTTGTTCTCTAGTTTGCAAAAATTCAGAGTTATTCATCCTTGAAGACACTATAGATGGAATACTGAAAGGGGATATTAGTGGAGTTACTGACACTGAAGTAACTAGCACTGTCAGAATTTCTCATGAAAGGTCTGTAAAGGTGAAAAAGATACATATTCCAATCCAAGACCTTGATTCCTTTATTAAAGAAAAGTAAGTATAACATAAACAACAAAATGAAAATAGATTCCAGCTACATTTAACATTCTCAATACTTAAGTTCTCCATTCTTTTAAAACAGTAATGTCTCTGATTAATTGACCTCAATTAGTTTCAATTTTTAGCAATCATATAGCTTTTCTCCAGGAGAATCTGAACCCAACCTAATTTTTCAGGTCTCCCAGTGGTGCAGCTATCACCACTACTGTTATGTTTCAAGTTTGGTGAGGCATTGACGAGGCAAATGGTACAAACAACAACTCTTCATTTAGTTAACAACAGAAGCAGCCCTACCTGCTGCTTAACCACTATTTATACAGCTCACCACTAGGCGGCAGCCAATAGAATTAAAGCAGTATTTCCCGCTTAAAGACAAGCTAATTAACATGCAGACAGTCAGTCTGGAGCTTAAACAGGTGCAAGCGTTAGACCATTTCCAACAGTTTCCAAGTAATTAATACATAACACCCCTTCCCCCTAGATAGTTCATAATGACAAATATTGAACATAGTCCTGTAAATATTTTGGTGGCCTTCTTAACCGTTGCAAGCACTTTGGCACCACTGTAGGCTCCCGGTCTACTAACTCGCCTGGCAGGCTGGGTAGACCAGGGCTTTGGGACCCATTTGCTATGGGTAGACCAGAGTCTCTGTGGCTGGTCTGTCTGGGTAGACCCGAGCCAGTGTCCATAGGTGGAACAGTTTCCACTGGGCTGGAAATCGGAGCCATCTGCCGGAATTGCTCAGTGGGTGCAGTCCCTATGTTCGGGGCCAACTTGGCATCTGCTAGTGCCCCATCCCCTCTCCTGGGAGTCTCACCCTCGCTTGCAGACTCCGATGCACAGCTGCTGTTGTGATGCCCCTGAATTTGACTTTCTCGAGAGTCATGAGCCAGCAGCTGGTTCGCTAGCCTCTTGCACAGTTGGTCAATGTGCCTTTGTAGCATGCAAGGCTTCCAGGACCACTTCGTAAGAGAATGGCCCTGACACCTTACCAACCACAACTACCACCCACAGTGACCCTTGCCCATAGTTTTGAACCCAAACCAGGTCTCCAACTTGCAATCTCTGTAGTGGCATTGGCTGTGCTGATTACGATGCCATTCGGTCTGGATGCAGACAATCCAGCTTAGTGATTAAGTGATGGCCCCATCTTAATTCTGCTGGGCTTCTGCCCGTGGAAGTGCAGGGAATCGTGCATTGGCAGAGTAAGAAGTCTGCTAGTCTATGCTGCCAGTTGCCAGTTACGATCCTTTTTAAGGATTCTTTGATCGTTCAGACCATGCGTTCTGCTTGGTTGTTAGAGGCCAGGTGAAAGGGGGCCAAAATGGCATGCCTGATCATGTTAGCCCTTAAAAAGGACTGGAATTCTTCAGTAGTAAACAGCCCCATTGTCTGAAACTATCATGTCAGGTAACCCGTGTGTGGCAAAGATCCTGCGCAGTTCCTGGATGCTCCTGGCAGTAGTCATAGTTGGAACAGGTGTGACTTCTAACTACTTAGAGTGACTGTTCACCACAATAAGGAACAGCTGTCCCTGAAAGGGTCCCGCAAAGTCAATGTGGATTCTTGACCACAGGGCTTGTATGGTTTCCCATCGATGGATGGGGGCTTGTGGCATTTCTGGTCGGGATTGCTGGCAAATGTAGCAGCTATGTACTTGGGCCTCAATATCTTGTATCTAACCCTGGCCACCACAGAAAGCTTCTTGTGAGTGCCTTCATCCGGACTATTCCCGGATGTCCCTCATGCAGAGACTCTAGTACCCTGGGTCTTAAGGAGTGTGGAACTAGGACCCGACTCTCCCACAAAATGCAGCCTTTGTGAGCAGATAGCTCATCCTTCCTCCTAGAGAAGCTCTGAAAATTAGGCCCGAGACTCACGTCCGGCCATCCTGTGAGCACCCAATTCAACAAGCAGCTTAGCATCTTGTCCGAATCTGTTTCGGCAGCCACGTCCCTTGCGTTAAGGGGAGACTCCAGCAAATCCTGGATAGCCAAGATGAGAGCAGCCAGAACGGGGTCTGGCTCTGATTGCGGCAGGGGCAGCCTACTAAGGCTATCCACGTGGCCCATTCCCCTGCCCAGTTTGTGAATTAGACAGTAACTATAAGCTAAAAGAAAAATAGACCACCTCAGCATCCTAGGAGATAGTATATGAGGTGTTTGTTTGTCCGTCGTGAACAGACCCAGAAGTGGCTTGTGGTCCGTAAAGACCGTGAATGGACGACCATACAAATAGTCATGAAATTTCTTGACACCAGCCATGATGGCCAATGTCTCTTTATCTATTTGGGCATAGTTGTGTTCTGCCGAGGACAGAGTCCTTGAATAATAAGTTATGGGAGCTTGGCTCCCATCAGCCATTAAATGGCTCAACACAGCCCAATCCCATACGGGGATGTATCACAGGCAATGCAAATGGGCAGCTGTTCATTGAAATGCACCAGAACCAAGTTTGACTGCTGAAAAACTTTTCTCGTGGACACTGGTCCACTGCCACTGTGCTTTTTTGTCCAAGAGCCGATGTAACGGCTCTGCCACTGCGGCCTTGTTCAGAAGGAAGGCATGATAAAAGTTGAGCAGGCCTAAGAATGCCTGGAGCTCCCCCGTTGTCTTAGAGCGAGGAGCCTGTTGAATTGCTTGAAGCTTGGATTCAGCAGGGTGAATGCCTGCGGCATCTATGTGGAAACCGAGGAATTCGGTTGAAGCTACCCCAATTTTGCATTTCTCCTTTTTTAATTTCAGCCCCGCTTCGCGGAAACACTGAAGGACGGCCTTGAGCCGTTCTGCCAATTTCTCTACTGATTCCCCAGCTGTGAGAACATCATCGAAATATGGACATACACCTGGAATACCCTTGAGCGTGCGTTCCATCACACCCTGGAAAAGCCCTGGGGCAACCCTGACCCTGAATCGTAGGTGCTTCACCCTGAAAGCTCCCCTGTGGGTAACTATAGTTGAGCTTCTGCCATGGCATCGTCCACGGGCAGTTGCTGGTAGGCTTGAGCCAAATCCAATTTGGCAAATATGTGACCTCCCTGTAGTGACGCCAGAATGTGGCTGACTACAGGCACCGGATATGAATGTTGTTGAAGCAATCTATTAATCGTGCACTTATAATCCGTGCATATGCACACCTCCCCGTTGGCCTTAAGTGGTGTAACTATGGGGGTTTCCCACCTACTGCTCTCTACTGGCTGCAACATACCTTGTTCCACCAGCTTGTCCATCTCTACATTGATTTTGGGTTTGAGGGCAAAGGGCACTCTTTGAGGCTTGCTCTTTACTGGGGGTTACAGTAGCATCAAGGTGGAGGGTAATTGGAGAACCCTTGAACTTCCCTAAGTCATGGCTGAACACATCAGCAAACTCTTGGCAAACTAATGACAGGTCCGTTGTTTGCATTCTGTGTATACCAGTCATGTGGATGTCTAATGCATCAAATCAGTCTAGCCCGATGAGGCTTGTGCGGTGGCCCTCAACTACTACGACGTCCAGGGAACCCTCAAACTCTTTGAACTGAACTTTGAGTGTGGCTTCTTCTTTAACTGCTACACGGGCGTTTTGGAAATCAGTTAACAGGCAATTCGGTGGCTTGAGTTTAACTCATTTGCTGATGCAAATGTGGTTAAAGGTTCCTTGGGAAATTATAGACAGGGCTGACCCCGTGTCTAGTTCCATGTTGCATGGGACTCCATGAAGTCATGACTTTAAGTCTCAGCTTTTCCTTCGTGGGGCGATGGGCACCTGTTCTAAACATGCTCCTCCTACTGGCACAAAAACCAACTCTGTGTTGTCCCGGGGCCCTCTGCGGAACCTGCACTCCAAGTGTCTGTGTTAGCCTCTACAGCCCATACATCGAGTGAAGGGAACTTCCTTGTCAAGTGGCTGCTGAACCCTTGCTGGTGGCTTCTGCAGCAGATCAATTTAATTGTCTATGTCGGAGGCCTCGCTTCTTTCCGCGTCCTCTTGGTGGATGGCTTCTGGGTGGGGAGTGTTCTTGAAGGGCTCCCGCTGCGGCTTCTTCAGCCATAATCTCCTTTAGAGCATCTTGGAATGACAAGGACTCTTTTGCGAACAACTTCTGCTGAAGGTCCCTGTTCCTCAACCAACACACCAAACTGTCTCTCAGTCTCTCTTCGAGGTCTGTGAAATTGCAGAGCTGGGACACCTGTCGAAGAGCGGCTATGAACTCAGCAGCAGACTCACCTGGTTGCTGCTTCCTTTGTTCGAATGCGTGTCTCCAGGCAATGACTGAGAGCTTTGGCTCAAAATGTTCCTTGAGCATTTTCTTGAGCTCAGCATAAGCGACCGATTCAAGTGTGGCTGGTGCGACCAGGTTTTCGGTGATATCAAACGTCACCTGACCACACACACAGAGCATTGCGGCCTTTAAGCTGTCTTCACTAACTTGGTTAGCTCTCAGGTAGTTCTCAGCTCTCTAAATGTAAGAGCTTCACCTCTTGGGATGTGACACATCGAAGTCTGACAATTTTCCAAGCTTGGCCATGGTGAGTTGTCTCTGATCTCACAATACCTTGTGCTGCTAAGGCTTCTGTTGTTGGTCCTGGGGACAAGTCCCTCAGGGTATTAGCCTCCAGAGTTGCGTGCTGGCAGGTAGAGGGGGGAACATAGTTCCTACCAGGGCACTGAGGCCTGGTCTTACTCCTACTGATTTCTGGCTCTTTCTTTCTTTGCAGCACATCCCACCTTCATTGCCACTGTTATGTTTCAAGTTCGGTGAGGCATTGACAAGGCGAATGGTGCAAACAACAACTCTTTATTCACTTAACAACAGAAGCAACCCTAACTGCTGCTTAACCACTATTTATACAATTTACCACTAGGTGGAAACCAATAGAATTAAACCAGTATTTCCCAAAAATGTATTATAATTTAAAGCCTCTAAATAGCTATAAATCTTTCACTGCAACAAGATTTAATTCTTTCTAAGCATTAATCAAATATGGTAAAGAACATAGCTCAGAAATGTACATAGGAAATTGGAAGGAAATTGATTACTTATTGCAACTGAACCTATATTTATTGAATTGGTTTTTTTTTCAAAAAGTTATAAATTGGATTGCAGTCTACTTTATTGAAATATATATGTATTCTTTTTTTAGAAAAATCAACACTGAACATCCATTTATTAAACAATCAAAGAAACTCCAGAGGAACTTATACGTGATCACTGAATCAGCAGAAGCTGTGGAAATGACAACGTTTGGGGAATCCAGCAAAGTAGAAAGCAGCATCTTTCATAAAGCCTACATCAAACTGAGCCTGCAGGTCTAATCTGAATAGTGAATTATCATGAAATTGGAGGAAAGAAAAATGCATCTCCTCTTACCAAATTATTGTATCCCATACAACTGATCCAAGATTTTATTTTGTCTTTTAGGGTACCAGAGATAGGAAGAAAATAATCACTATCCCAAAGGGGTGCATCTTGGCATTCAAAGCTAAGAAATTACTTATAGAAGAAGGAACCTTAGGTAAGGGACTTTTTTTTATCTGAGGCCAGTACCAATTATTAGTTTTCTGAAAATGTTACTGCTCCAGCAAGCTGAAAGTTTCAAAGATCTAGCAGTTGGCTGATAACAGGTAGAAGTAAGTTGGACAGATATTTGATCTAATAAAGTGCAGTTCTCATGTTCATCCATTTTCTCAAGAAAGGTAGATGTGGGTACATTTGAGTTCAACCTTCTGTTCAGTGCAGGAATTCAATTAAAGTATCCCTGATACACAGCTGCCTATATCTCCCCACCCCCAGTCTCTCTACTCTCCATTTTCCAACTTTTTTTACTGTTAGAATTTTATTTCATTCATTTGAAATCTTTCTTCCTACAACTGAAATCATCATTCCATTCCTGAATTCTATAATGAATGAGAGCAATGTATGTTCTTTTCTTCATACAGGCATCCATGACTTACAACCACAATTGAGCCCAAAGTTTTCAGAACTAAACAAGACAGATGTTAACTGAGTTTTGCCCCATTTTATAACCTTTCTTGCCACAGTTATTAAGTGAATAACTGCAATTGTTAAGTTAGCAAAAGTGTTGTTAAATGAACCTGGCTTCCACATTGACTTTGCTTGTTAGAAGGTTGCAAAGGTTATCACATGATCCCAGGACAATGCAGCTGTTATAAATATATGCCAATTGCCAAGTGTCTGAATTTTGATCATTTGGCCATGAGGATGCTATAATGGTTATGTGAAAAACAGTCATTAAGTCACTTTTTTTCAGTGCCACTGTAACTTTGAACTGTCACTAAAAGAATGGTTGAAAGTTTATGACTACCTGTATAGGTATTTGAAGAGTGAGGGTGAAGGTTCGTTCTCCCAGCTTGAGGATTGGTTTCCGAACATTTTGTTAGCAGGCTAGGGGTCATCTTCAGCAGTGTTTAGGGGATATCTGTGTCACTGTTCTACTTATATAAGGGCTTCAGGTGTGGGAGTATCAAGTGAGGGTCTTGTGATGGGCCAAGTATGAGTTATCAGAGAGAGGCTTGTGATGGGGAGGTACTTCAGGTCAGGGTCATTGAAGGGTATGAATTATCACTAGGTCAGGAATGAGTCATCAGTGGAGGCTGGTAATGGGTCTTGTGATGGGGAGATTATATCAAGTCAGGGTCATTGGAAAGTGAACTGCTGGGGGAGGGGCTTGAGGGTTGGTGCAATCTCTGGATGACTGTTCAATTGATTTTGATTCTGAGGGGTTCGTATGCTGGTTGTAGATCAATATGTCTGTTGATGGAATTGCTTGTGAAGTGCCAGGCTTCAATGAACTCCCGAGCGTGGCAGGTGATGGTGTGGCCGATGATTTTAGTGTTCCTCCAATTGAACTGGTGTTGTTTGGTGTCAATGAGGGTAGTGATTAGGGATTTGGGATAATGGCGTTTGACTGCTAGCTGGTATTCATGGATCCTAGTTTTTAATTGATGTGATGTTTGTCTCACGTAGAAGTTGTTGCAGTCGTTACAGTTGATTTTGTAGATTACATTGCTTCTTAGGATCCCATGATCCCAAATTCCTAATTGCTACCCACACTGATACCACACAACACCAGTTTAATTGGAGCAACACTAAAATCATCAGCTACCACCTGCCATGCCACTACCTGCCATGCTCGGGAGTTCATCAAAGCCTGCAATCCACAAGCAATTCCATCAACAGACAAATTGAAGTACTATTTTCCATGATAAAAAGTAGCTACTGGTGCAAACAAATTTTCATTTGCCTTTTTGCAGCCAGCCATATTGAAAAATGAACATGAGTCAGCAGTGTAATCAACTGTTATTCTAAAAACTTTTTCTGTCTCCACACTTCCGCCATCCTATTTCCTGATTCAAAGGATTTCCTTTTTCTATCACAGAAGGCTCAGAAGCTATTCCTTTTATCAAGTTTTTTGAGTTCCACTAGTGTAGATGTCTTCTCATTCTCTTGCTTCCGATTGTTAAACCCTCCACTCCTTTAGGTCAATGAATACTCAGTCATCCAGGCCAATGGTGTCATTGAATCATGGCAACTGGACCAAACTTTGTTAATCTGAGACGTTTCATTGATCATCCAAACAATTTCATCAGTCAGAGCAAAATTAGTTAGACAGAGAGTTAGAGAGTCATTAGAACGTACCAACTCTCGCCATATCAACTTCAGGATTTTCTCTCCAAACTGCATTAGAAAAATATCAATGAAGACTCAATTATCTGGGCCAAAGGTTGAATCAGGGCAATGGACTAAACTTCGTTAATCTGAGACATTTTGTTGCTCCTCCAAGCAATTTCATGAGTCAGCAAAATTAGTCAGAGAGTCAGAGAATCGTTGGAATATACCAACTCTTGGCACACCAATTTCAGGAATTTCTCACCCAAATGCATTGCAATATGTCAATGAAGACTCAATCATCCAGGCCAAAGGTATCTAAAGGCTGAATTATGGCAATTGGACTAAACTTTGTAAATCTGAGACATTTAAATTTCAATGATTGTCTGCCTAATTTTGCTCTTATCTGATGCTGTTGCTTGGATGAGCAATGAAACATTTGGTCCAGTTGCCTTCATCCTACTCTCTGCATATACTCTGTGAACTATTAGGAAGGGGTTGTCTTTGCCCTTTTTCTCACGTGGTAGCTAAGTTACCTCTTATTCCTCTGGTATGCACCCCCTCCCTCCTTGGTAATGCCCTTGCAATTAAAGTAATCTCCATCTCCATCATTTTGCTATACTGCTGCTGCCTCTGATACAGGTGCCTGCTTTGTTCAGACAATTGGGATGATTTTCATGCTTTGGATGACCCTGATTGGAAGCATATATTCTTGAAATATATACTCTCTTAGCATTCTTTCATCCCTGCCAGGAGCCTTTCTCACCAGATTACAATGAGACTGCACAGCAGGATCTGGAGCACAAAACAGGATCCTGGGGATAATTCATCCCTCTTTTTAAAAAAATGTGTTTGGCAGGAAAATTTGAAGTAAATGTACAATTAAGGCATTTCTTTTTCTCAGTGTTAGGTTTCTTTGAAACTTTAAAAATTATTGATAAGCTCTTCTTCCAAAAAATTATATACAGTATTGTTAGCTAGCATAATGTTAACAATTGAGTTTTCCTAATTTTTACTTTAGGTATTTCTTATTACTCAACTGATAAAACAGGAACTTTTGGTAAGTATACTTTAGCCATTTTGTTTTACTGTTTTAATGAATATATCACAATATACCTGAATTCTTGTTCAGTTACTGTTCCTTATCCAGATGAAGAATCTAGGAACGTGAAGCAGTATACCTCTTCCAATGTTATTGTCATAGCAGCAGTCCTCTGTAGTAGGCAGGACTGAGAAATGACTGGCTGAAAACCATCAAATGAACTTGTATAGTTGAGGGAGGGCATTAAACATCAAAACAAGAATTTATCAACCGGCACTGATAACAATTAAAATAGGAAGTCAGAGGTTTAAAATAATGCTACCTATTTACTTTCACAAGAAAAAAAAACTAGGCTGTTATAAATCCATGCCCAGTTGCAAAATTACATGAGCACAAATTCTCATTGGGTGAGAAAAGAAAACTTAGTATATTAAACCTGAATTATAGTGTATGTTTTTTTAAAAAATCACAAAAATAAGTCTAATCTTGCCTTTACTAAGACATAGCCTGACTCATTAACCTCCAAGAAATATGTGGAAAAGTATACAAAGACAAATTATGCATTGTAAAGATCGCTTGGAGGTGGGAGATACTTCCAACGTAATCTACCGGATCTCCTGCATGGATTACCTGTAACTATGTAGGACAAACAGGGAGGAAGCTAACCACCACATTGCAAGAACCACAAGCAAGTCATCAGATGAGGAGACCCAAAGTCATTGGTCGCCTCACATTGCAATAAACAAGGACATACATTCAATTTTGCAGCTACTAAGATTGTTGGATGAGCAGGCACAAAAATAGCCAGGGAAGTGATTGAAGCCTGAGAAAAGGGCCCCTCATCAATCAACAATAGTGCTGATTTACCCCCAGCTTATCAAGTACTTAGGAGGTGGGAGGTTGGCAGCATAAGGAAACAACAGCCAACAACTTAATAACCAGCCATCAATCTCCATCTCCCCAATCTACATCTAAGAAGCTACACACAACAGGCAACATATAAATAACACACACCAAACAGCCCAAAGCACACAGAGAAGTCCCTGAGGATGGGTTCCAACATGAATCCAAAAGCTCAGAAGACAAAAACCTCTGGCCCCAGTGACCGACTCAGATTGGATCCTGCGACATTATCCTGGGACATGTCTACTTGTCTTAATTTGAGAAATGTATATTCCATGCACCTGGCTTTAGGACAAGTGAGTGAAATATTGTAAATTTGTAAGATACTGCATGAACCTTTTGAAAAGCTGTGGTTAGCACATCATTACTCTAAACTCAAAATATGGGAAGACAACAGTTCTTTATATGCAGAAGTAAGTAAGAAAGAAAGTACAAAGATCTTTTAAAAAAATTATTGTACTGGGTGGGAAGGTCAACTAAACTGACAGGTCTCAGATTGATGTTGTTATCTCATTCTGTTTCCTCATGCTGTTCATGTAATTCTTTTACATTTCAGATATACAATTTAAGTCTGAAAGTACAGGTAAATCTCTCTGTTCTCTCTCTTTTATTTCTCTTTCTTGTATACATACTTCATTTCAAAGTTCTCGTTCCCCTTATGCAAGTATGTTTAAGATGTCAATCCAAGCCTAATTAAGCAATCACAAGAAATGCATCTGGCTTTAGGACAAGTGAGTGAAATATTGTACATTTGTAAGATACTGCATGAACTTTTTGAAAAGCTGTGGTTGGCACATCATTGCTCTAAACCTAAAATATGGGATGACAACAGGTGTTCTTTATATGCAGAAGTAGGTAAGAAAGAAACTACAAAGATCTTTTAAATTTTTTTATTGTACTGGGTGGGAAGGTCATCTAAACTGACAGGTCTCAGACTGATGTTGTCATTCTGTTTCCTCATCCTATTCATGTAATTCTTTTGCATTTCAGATATACCATCTATGTTTGAAAGTGCAGGTAAATCTCTCTGTTCTCTGTCTTTTATTTCTCTCCTGTATACATACTTCATTTCAAAGTTCTTGTTCCCCTTATGAAAGTATGGTTTACGATGTCAATCCAAACCTAATTAAGCAATCACAAGAAATCTAAAGAGCTTGCTAAATCCAAAATGAAAAGCCTACAACAGATGCTTCTAAATTTTGGCAGCTATTTATACAGGTTACTTAAGAAAGTACTACAGATATTACTCCTTTAAAATCTTGCCAGCTAATACAAAATGTTTCTATTAATTACTATTGAACTTTTTTCTTTTTTTCAAAGGTGCAGATATTAGGTGGCTTGTGGTGATTGCAAAATGTACAAATCATTGCAAAATGATTTATTCATTTATACTGAATTTTGTGGAAATCTGGCATTTTAAAAAAATGGTTTTTTTAAAAAAAAATATGTAGTCCAGTACTAGGAGTTATCAATTTCCTGGAAGTCCAACTTCTTACCAGAAATCATGACATATTTTGGTCAATACACGTGCAAAACTGGGAACAGTCAATATTAATATTTCAAAAGGACTCAATCACAAATGCAAGCACCAAGGAATTAAGAGCCTTTGGATTTTTCTCCTAAAACTTTTATGTTTAACATGAGCTAACCTGCTGCCCACTTGTAACCATGTTGTCTAGGAATTAAGGAAGCTGAAGATGCCAATCAGAAGTTGAACTGATGCTTTCTTAACTCTAGATCTATATTTCTGTATTCAGGATGCTGCTTATAAGTGCTATGTGCTTAGAGCTCAAAGCATTGTTAGAGACCCCATACACCTACTTTACGGTCAGTTTCTGTTGCTCCTGTCTGGGAGGAAGTTTCCAAGTATTTCTAGCTGGATTATCCAATTCTGTAATAGCTCTCTGTTCCTAAGCCATCCATCTGGTAAACTTACAAGATTTGTTTTTCTTGCCATGCACATGTATACATAACCCAAACTAGACTGCTGTTTCTCTGTGTCATATAATACTTATGGGTATATGCATAATTTTGTATTTATTTATTTTTGTCATATTTATGTAGAGTATATCGGAGGTGGTGACCCCTTGAGAGCTGTATGCAACGAAATTTCATTTTAATGCATGCCGATTAGTGTACATTCAAAGTGACAAAGTTATTTTCTATTCTACTCTACTCTACTCTACTCTACTCTACTCTACTCTATTCCCCCCCAATTTTTTTTATTGGTTCTCTATCTTAATACGAAACATGAAATCAGAAATATGCTTATGATGTTCACAAGGAAAAAAGTGCTTCCATACAAATGTGATTAAAATAAATGTTACTACTATGTATTTTGCATTTTTCCACTTATTAGAACTAGAAAAGAAGATTTTCGTCCCCAGTATGTGTCTTTTGTAGAGCTTGATTAAAAATCTATAATTTCATTTGAAGTGGGAGATGAAGTCTTCTAACAATAGGTTAGGCCTATCCATTTTGTTTACTACAGATCTCACAGGATCATTCAGTGTATAGAATCAGAAAATAATCAAAAGAATTTATATCCATTTCTCTCCTTCCCCCCCCCCCATGGGTCCTCAATTCCTCAGTGAGATATTGTCTGTTTGGAGAATGAGAAAAAATCAAGAAAGAGTCACACTATATGAGCAGAAATTATATAATGTTTTATGAGTGTTCACCAGAATTTAGCCAATATTTTGGATAATATTGTCAGAGGTTCACAAAAGATCCAGCAACGCTGGTCTTTAGACAAAATACACAACCGCTTGCATACTCAAAACACACAACCGCTTGCATATTCATTACCCACTCTTCTGCATAGTTACTGCTACTCTACTACTGCTACTCCAACTACTACTCCTTGTGAGTACTGCTAGAGAAAAGCATTCTTTTTAGGCTGTTTTATTTGTACACACAAACACACACCTCCTTCCCTCTTCTCTCCTTCTCTTTCTCAAACATGCCTTCAGCTGTTTCATAACACAGCCTTGCCATCCTGATGCTGGGGAGGGGGACTAAAGAAAAGAGAAGAAAGCATCACAGATACTGGCAATTTTCTGGGCAGCCTGCTATTATTATTGTTGTTATTGTTGTTGTTGTTATTATATGATATTCAGCATGATTAATTCAGAGACCAAATTGTAAAAAATACAGAACTTTAAAGGCTCTGCAATGATACTACGGTATATGCTGGTAATATTTATTACGGGTGCTTAGTTAAAATAGGATAATATCCAAATTTTTATTTTTTAGATTTTTTTATCCTGCCTTTTTTCATATACAACTTAAGGCAAAGAATATACCAATTCTATTTTACCCACGTTTTTTTCTTCTGGCGTTAGGCAAGATAAGAACAGCAAACTTTGATTTTAACACTTTTGTCTCTGTTTGGGTAGACAATAGGAAAGACCTTCAAAAGGAAGTTGAGAACGAATATGTACCATTTTCTTTAATGTCTTCAAACCTGCGTGGCAAACTTCTAACTAGTTTTGTGGTTCTAATGAAGAAAACTGACCTTTTGGAAGAACTGGAATTCCAGGTAAAGAAGTTTCTGTTAATACTGTGGTTCATTTCCTTTGCTTCTCACAGTTCTACATACTGTAGCAGTTGTATGTGACCTGTACAAGAGTATATCATTATACAATTGCTGACCTCTTTAAAAACTTCTCACTGAAGAAAATAGCTGAACTCTCTCATTAGACTTCCAATTTGTCTTCTAGTCAGCAATTATGTTTTAATAACAGAGGTCCAAAATTCTTTTACTTATTTAGTTACAGAATTTATATTTCTCATATAATGATCCCAGGGATCTGACAACTGTTAAAACAAGAATGAAAACAAAACCATCCTGCCTTCCATGCACCAGATCAAACAATCCATTAGCCAGTCTAGTCCAATGCTTGGGGGAAACCAAATTTCAGGCATCTGACGTGGGTGCCAAAGGGTGTGGTGATTAGAGAAGACATGCCTCCAATGTCCCATGAGGGGACTTGGAGCTCCCCAACCTATCTCCTGGGGAGAAACAGTCCTGCGTGTATCTTGGTCCTGAGCCGTGGTGGCCTTTAAAAGTAATAACCAGCACCCTGAATTGCACGCAGGAATAATTAAGAGTTACTGAAGCTCATGCAGCAATGATGTAACTTGGGTGAACCACAGGGCACCCAGAACTGTGTGTGGCATTGCATTCTGGACCAGTTCCTATTTCTAGATGGCCTTCAGGTGCACCCCCATGTGGACTGCCTTGCAGTAATGCACTTTGGAGGTGACTAAGGTATAAGTGACGAAGGCCTCCCAGTCCAGAAATGGGCAGAATTGGCTCACAAGATGAATTTTTCCAAAGGCCCTATGATGGGCAGAAAAAATAATCTTGAGGAATAGGAAGAAGAGCCACAACCAAGACAACCATTAGATCAAAGAAATCTGAGTCTAGAGCACAACTTGTAACCTGAGTAAGTATCTCAGACAAGAGTTTTGAGTTCTCACGAAGATAAAAGAGAAGGAGGGGAAGCAGACTAATATTTGCAAGACTGATATCAATTCTTCAAGGTAGACTAGACCACACTAGAAAACCAAAGTCATAAATTATAATATTATTTCTGATACTATAATCTTATAATAAAAGTAGCATTAGCATGCATGACTTTCCTAATATGGTTACCTTAAAGGGCTACCTTTCATTCTTGCAATAAAATTTTACTTATTTTTTTGGAGTATTGGATTCTGAGACCTAAACAACTGCCAGATTTTCCAACTCTCAGGTATCAGCTATACACATTACTATTTCTCCCAAAAGAGCATCTGCAGGAAGGTCAAGAGGATCTGACAGGTAGGAAGGAGGAAGCCACACTGTGGGGCTGTCAGTCTATCAATTACCAAAAGTCATAACATCCTTTTTGCCAACACAAAAAAAGATTTCAAAAAGAATGACTTATGTTTCCACTATCACAAATTAAAAAAGCATTTCCCCCTATGGTTCTTAAACTTTACCTTATTTTTTAAAAAATCATTTACATTCCCAATGGACAGCAGTATTCAGATTCAATTCTCACATTATACTAACCCATCCATATAAATATCCATTTGTAAAATATTATTTTCCTGCCTATTTCTCCAACTCAAACTTCTAGCTAGAACAGGTTCTTGAGGACCCTGAACAATTCAGACTGAATATGGACAAACCAGAGTTTAAGGATCTGATGGAGAACTTGCAAGATGTCAAAGGAGTAATTGTCCCTGGACTTGCTGAGGCTACTCTCTATTTTCTTCAGGCTCTTGAAGGTAAAAATAGTCTCTTTCAATTACAATGGTCATTAATAATTCACTAACTTTCAAACTAAGAGCAAGTAAAATTGGGAGACAAACACATCTTTACAAAATTCTCCCTCTCCTTCTCTGAGGGAGACAGGCAGTTAAATATGAAATATAATCAAATAAAAATTTGTAAGTATTTTTGTACAAATACCTGTCTGTTGTTTTGTTGTTGTTAATTGCGAAGTCGTGTCCGACCCATCGCGACCCCATGGACAACGTTCCTGCAGGTCTTCCTGTCCTCTACCATCTTCCGGAGTCCATTTAAATTCACACCTACTGCTTCAGTGACTCCATCCAGCCATCTCATTCTCTGTCGTCGCCTTCTTCTATTGCCCTCAATCTTTCCCAGCATTAGGCCCTTCTCCAGTGAGTCCTTCCTTCTCATTAGGTGGCCAAAGTATTTGAGTTTCAACTTCAGGATCTGGCCTTCTAAAGAGCAGTCGGGGTTGATCTCTTCTAGGACTGACCGGTTTGAACGCCTTGCAGTCCAAGGGACTCGCAGGAGTCTTCTCCAGCACCATAGTTCAAAGGCCTCAATTCTTTGCGCTCAGCCTTTCTTATGGTCCAACTTTCACAGCCATACATTGCAACTGGGAAAACCATGGCCTGGACTATACGCACTTTTGTTGGCAGGGTGATGTCTCTGCTTTTTAGAATGCTGTCTAGATTTGCCATAGCTTTCCTCCCCAGGAGCAAGCGTCTTTTAATTTCTTGGCTGCAGTCCCCATCTGAGGTGATTTGGAGCCCAGAAAAATAAAATCTGTCACTACCTCCATTTCTTCCCCATCTATTTGCCAGGAATTGAGAGGGCCGGATGCCATGATTTTGGTTTTCTTAATGTTGAGTTTCAAGCCAACTTTTGCACTCTCCTTCTTCACCCGCATCAAGAGGCTCTTTAGTTCCTCTTCACTTTCTGCCATTAGAGTGGTATCATCTGCATATCTTAGGTTGTTGATATTTCTCCCGGCAATCTTAATTCCAACTTTTGATTCATCTAGCCCTGCCTTTCTCATGATGTGCTCTGCATATAAGTTAAATAGGCAGGGCGACAGTATACAGCCTTGCCGGACTCCTTTTCCAATTTTGAACCAATCAGTGGTTCCGTGTTCGGTTCTCACTGTTGCTTCTTGACCCGCATATAGGTTTCTCAAGAGACAAATGAGATGGTCTGGTACTCCCATCTCTTTAAGAACTTGCCACAATTTGTTGTGATCCACACAATCAAAGGCTTTTGCATAGTCAATGAAGCAGAAGTAGATGTTTTTCTGGAACTCCCTAGCTTTCTCCATGATCCAGCGTATGTTGGCAATTTGATCTCTAGTTCCTCTGCCTCTTCGAAATCCTGCCTGTACTTCTGGTAGTTCTCGATCCACATACTGCTGGAGTCTAGCTTATAGGATTTTAAGCATAACTTTACTAGCATGTGAAATGAGTGCAATGGTGCGATAGTTTGAACATTCTTTGGCATTGCCTTTCTTTGGAATTGGAATGTAAACTGACCTTTTCCAATCCTGTGGCCACTGTTGAGTTTTCCAAATTTGCTGGCAAATTGAGTGTAGCACTTTTACTGCATCGTCTTTTAAGATTTTGAATAGCTCAGCTGGAATACTGTCACCTCCACTAGCTTTGTTGTTGCTCAGATTTTCTAAGGCCCATTTCACTTCACATTCTAGGATGTCTGGTTCGAGGTCAATGACCATCTCATTGTGGTTATCTGGGATGTTAAGCTCATTCTTGTATAGTTCTTCTGTGTAGTTTTGCCATCTCTTCTTAATCTCTTCTGCCTCTGTTAGGTCTCTGCCATTTTGGTCCTTTATCATGCCCATCTTTGCATGAAACGTTCCCTTCATATCTCCAATTTTCTTGAAGAGATCTCTGGTCCTCCCTATTCTGTTGTTTTCTTCTATTTCTTTGCACTGTTCATTTAAGAAGGCATTCTTATCTCTTCTAGCTATTCTCTGGAATTCTGCATTCAATTGGGTGTATCTTTCTCTTTCTCCTTTGCCTTTCGCTTCCCTTCTTTCCTCAGCTATTTGCAAAGCTTCCTCAGACAGCCATTTTGCTTTCTTGCATTTCTTTTTCTTTGGGATGGTTTTAGTTGCTACCTCTTGTACAATGTTGCAAACTTCCATCCATAGTTCTTCAGGCACTCTATCTATCAGATCCAGTTCCTTAAATCTATTTGTCACCTCTACTGTATATTCATCAGGAATATGATTTAGTTCATACCTGAGTGGCCTAGTGCTTTTCCCTACTTTTTTCAATTTAAGCCTAAATTTTGCAACGAGAAGCTCATGATCTGAGCCACAGTCAGCTCCTGGTCTTGTTTTTACTGATTGTATAGAGCTTCTCCATCTTTGGCTGCAGAGCACATAGTCAATCTGATTTCTATGTTGACCGTCTGGTGATGTCCATGTGTAGAGCCGTCTCTTGGGTTGTTGGAAAAGAGTGTTTGTTATGACCATCGTATTCTCTTGACAAAATTCTATTAGCCTGTGCCCTGCTTCATTTTGTACTCCAAGGCCAAACTTGCCTGTTATTCCGGTTATCTTTTGGCTTCCTACCTTAGCATTCCAATCCCCCATGATGATAAGGACATCATTTTTTGGTGTTAATTCTATAAGGTGCTGTAGGGCTTCATAGAACCGGTCAATTTCATCCTCTTCAGCACCAGTGGTTGGGGCATAGATTTGGACTATTGTGATATTGAATGGTTTGCCTTGGATTCGAATTGAGATCATTCTGTCATTTTGGGGATTGTATCCCAGTATTGCTTTTCCTATTCTTTTATTGACTATGAAGGCTACTCCATTTCTTCTGAGGGATTCTTGCCCACAGTAGTATACCTGATGGTCATCTGAGTTAAATTCACCCATTCCTGTCCATTTTAGTTCGCTGATTCCTAAGATGTCGATGTTCAGTCTTGTCATCTCTTTTTTGACTACGTCTAGCTTGCCTTGATTCATGGATCTTACATTCCAGGTTCCTATGGAGAAAAAATCTTTACAGCATCGGACTTTCCTTTCACCACCAGATATATCCACAGCTGAGCGTCCTTTCGGCTTTGGCCCAGTCGCTTCATTCTTTCTGGCGCTAGTAGTACTAGCCCTCTGCTCTTCCCCAGTAGCATATTGGACACCTTCTGACCTGAGGGGCTCATCTTCCAGCGTCATATCTTTTTTCCTTTTAGTACTGTCCATGGGGTTTTCATGGCAAAGATACTGGAGTGGTTTGCCATTTCCTTCTCCAGTGGATCACATTTTGTCAGAACTCTCTGGTATAACCTGTCCGTCTTGGGTGGCCCTGCACGGCATAGCTTATAGCTTCACTGAGTTACGCAAGCCCCTTCGCCACGACAAGGCAGTAATCCATAAAGGGGTCTGTTGTTTAAGTGACTACAAATAAGACTTATTAACTGATCAGATAATCTATTACTTATTTGGCTACCACTTCCAGGACCAGGACCCTACCCAACTTTGCAGAGGCTGAGAAGCTACTATTGTTTTCAACCAAAATAGAAGAAAAATCTTAAAAAAACAATTGCACCATAACCCAATCAGAGCTAGAGCCACTATGCATGAGTGTGTGGGGAGGAAAAGAGATTCCCAATATCATTGATCTTGTTTTAAATAAACCCTAGAGCGTTATGTCCCAAATAGGTTGAATATCTTCATCTGGAAATGCATAGGTATGCCAGAATCTGCTGAAGTGTATTGACGCAATAGGAATCATTGTTTAGTGACCCTAATTAGGACCATCAATTCAATAATTAAGTGAAGCAGTTGCTAATGAAACCTCTAAGGGATTTATAATCTTACTTCAGCTTCCATTTGCTTTATAGACCTGCAAAGATTGTAAATGTGAAGATTAGTCAAAAAGTTACTTTTTATCACCATTGTAACTGTGAATGGTTGCTAAATAAAGCAGTTGCTAAACAAGTACCATCTGTAGATTTCCATAGGCCCATCATTAGATGAGCAGACACTGCTTATATGTAGCATAAAGAAACCTGAAGACTTGTCCCCAAAAGGTTTCTTAATGGGTAATCTTTATTATAAACAAATGTTACATTTGTATTGTATCTAGGATTAAACTGAACAGCAAAAAATTCAGAGGATACTAGGGAATGCAAATTTAGATATGGGTGGAGTCCAGCCATAGTGCTAATTCATAATGGTTTTACATATTGTATGAACACACCTATGGCTTATTCAATAAGCCAAATAAGCCATGTTTAAATAAACTTTGGTTAAGGGCCAATAAACTTTGTTGATAACTTAAAATTTATTAAATGATTTTTCACTTTGGAATTCACAATGGCTAAATTCACACACAATATTTAGCTAGAAACATAGGAACCTGGCTTAATAATGACATTGACGTAACTGATCACTGAAAGGCAAATTGAAAGGAATCAGAACTGCTGTGTGGTTTAGTATGGTTAATCAAGTTTCATTTATTTATACTGGTAATGCATTCCAGTTTAGAATTTGCTATAGATAATGTAAGGGTTATTAATTTTAAATTAATCTAAATCATCTTTTCCAATTGAAAATATACAATTACTGCTACCAAAATTTTGGGCAGTTATTTCTGATGTAACATTTTTTTAGAATAGACCTATTTTCTCAATTTATTTTCTATAAAATCCAGAACTGACAGATTTCCAGATAATGCTATTGGTAGAATCTATGGAAAAAAAGATTGTGTCCCAGCAACTGAACCTGGTAAGAGAACTTCTAAAGAAAAAATAATTTGCTTTAATTAACACTCATTCTTCTCTGAGGCATTAAGATATTACACATGAGTTTCCTCTAGCTGAACTAAGAGGCTATATGTACAAGGCTATATCTTTTGCTTATTTATTGTAGATTAACAGCAATGTTCAGTGAACTTTGGGTTTCTATTGTATTTTATGCTAATAAAATATTGAGGCATACAGTACAGGTAGTCCTCAGCTTATGGCCGCAATTGGTACCAGTTTCTGTTATTAAGTTGGGCAATTACTAAGTGATTTTTCAATTTTATGGTCACTTTTTACTATCAGTTTTGTTACCCAATTTTATGTCCAATTTTATCACTACTTTTGCCATGGATGTTAAGTGAATCATTGCAGTAGTTAAGGGAATCTGGCTTCCCCCATTGACTTAGCTTCTTGGAAGCCAGAGAGAAAAATCGCAAATGATGATCACATGACTCCAGCACACTGCAAACATTGTTAAATACATGCCAGATGCCAAGCATTTAATCTATGATCACATGACTGTGGCAATGCTGCAATGTTACAAGTACAAGGACCAAGTCCTAAGTCATTTTTTTCCAGTGCTGCTGTAACTTTAAAGGATTGCTAAACAAATGGTTGTAAATGGACTACCTGTATATATTTTGGCTACAACTGATAAAATTTATTGATATGCAAACTGTTTCAAATTCAAACATTTTGAGATTCAAACAGATTATTTAAATGTTACCAGACTATTTTTCATGCTTAGAACATTTTCAGGATGCTTAAAGCAGAACTACATCACTTCCACTAAGACGGGGCAATTACAAGGTTATATTATTGCAAATTTGAAACTTACCACTAATATAATGCCATATACATGCCACATTTTATATTGACCTCAATTGATTTCCACATGTGGATGTTACTGATCAAGTGCTGCAAATTCTATTTTATTTGTTTCTTGTTTCCAAAGGTTGGAAGAATCCTAGACAAATATTTCTGGAATGGAAAACAGAATTTTACTGTAGAAGTCCAGCAATCACCTGAAGAGGAATGGGATATAACTGGAATGTTAATTGAAGAAATAAGTGGAATATCCATTCAACGAAGTGGATGCACTGTTAGTGGATCTGTACATCCCGAGGTTTCCTCAGCCCTCCCTGCACTATATGTGGTTCTATTTGCAATTGATCTTCTATCTAAGAAAAGTTTTTAAGCCATTCTTCTAAATCAGACTATGTTTGCAGCTAGAAAAGAATCATGCACAAATGTAGCAGCCTAACATATTTAAAATGAAAGTTGTAATCAGACAGCTTATTTGAAAGGAAGCTTGCCTGAGAATATCAATTTATATTAGGTATTTACTTCTTGCGTTCAATTCTCCATAACTGCATTCACACAAAACTAAATCATTTGTAGTCGAGCTTAATGGATTGTTCAAACTTAGATTAGGGCCAGTCAGAAACCATTATGGTGATAAAAATAATCACTAAACATAAGGAGGAAAAAAAACTAAGGAAAAATAAATTTGCAGGTAGTCTTCAATGTGTGACCATTTAACAAACTACGAACTGCTGAAAAAAGTGACTTATGACCGATTCTTGCACATACATTCAGACTGGATTTGCTTAATGATGATGTGATTTATTTAATGACTGCAGCAAAAAGATAAAATTGAGTAAAACATATTTAACAACTCCATTGCTTAGCAAATAGTCAGTTCCAATTATGGTTATAAGTGGAGGACTATCTGTATAGGATTTCAATATAAAATGAATGTCATTGAACATATTATTAAATCTAAACCATAAACATATTGCCACATTTTCTCATTTTAGAATATAAGACATTTCAGAAATGGATAAATCGAGTCCTTATTATGTGGGTGTAATTATCTGTATGTTACTTCTGTCACAATCTATCTTGCAGGCACCTCCTCCTCAATTCCATGTTTGGAAGTGAGGACATGCACAATTCTTACTGGCAAATATAAGAGAACTATGGATAAAATTAAAATAAACTGTAAAATAGTCCCTCCTAAAGCATAAACCACATGACTACAGAAAGCATTTTCCCCCATATATAAACATTCCTTCAGACCCAAATCAATATCACAGCCTCTAAATAAAATTACTTTCTCTTTTTTTCTTTTTAAAATAATGTTAAATTATTATGGCTTTAAGTAGTCATGTGAAAAACATTTTTCACTCTAGCATTTGTCAATAGGTCATGGAAGTATAACTATCAAGCAGCTATGTTTTTATAAGAAAGCAACTCCAGGCGGTGGCTGCATAACCAGAGAGCTTGGAGCAGGAGACTGAAGAGTTTCCAGTTTCAGCCCTGCTTCTACTATTTCTTACCCATTTTGTTTCATAATCCTATTATATTTAATATATTGTGGAAGAAAAATAAAATTTCATTTTAAAATTATCAGAAATGATTTCAGACAGGCTTTAGGAAAAATGAGACAACCTACAGAGATTCTGTAGTACTGTCCTACTGCTTCCTCGACATAGCACTTCTAACATAAAGGGAGACTGGCCAGCTACTTATTGAATATAATTGTGTTCTCTAATGTGGCTATTCTTAAGCTAATTTGTGGGCGACTCAATAAATTGCATTGTCTGGGTTTGCAAAACAAGAAATAATAAAAAAACCAGCATTCCTACATAAACTTTTAGTGCAATAATAGACCAGTCATGTACTAGTTATACTGTGATTTGAGTTTCTTGTTGGGTCCACAAGTTGAACTAAGCTTAATTTATTTAATCAAGGCTTACTTATTGGTTGAATTGTATTTTGGCTTATTATGATGCAAGAATCGACTTATATATTATAATCTGTATGTAAAATTGAATTATGCATGCAGCTTCTGCCAGAAGTTAATTATATAAAATCATAAATCTTATCAAATTCCAGCAAAATTAGCTTAAGAATCAGCACTAATTTATAGACTAAACTAGGTCCAAATCTATGTTCCCTCTCAGGTGTATGTGTGCATCTACATATGCATGCATATGCTTACTATTCATCACCACATACATTAAAAAGTCTTCACAAATTTTTTTGTTACCCAAGATAGTAAAAATAAATTTAAATTCCATTAAACTAGAGGCTCACAATTCAGAGTCCTGCACAAGCTCACGGTTTCAGGTTCACTGTAGCAGCCAGGCTCATTAATGGAAGACCTTTCCCTTGAGATCGCTAGCAGGCCATCTTTTCCCCAGCTGATCTGCTCCAGAAAAGGCCAAGTGAAGGACAGCAGGATGTACAGGAAAAAGCACTTCCCTCCTCATGCCATAAAGGTTGGATTCATTTTCCTCTTACCTCCAAAAAAAAGGTTTATAATAATATCTGTTATGCTTTGGGCAGCACAATGTCCATTAATTTCATAAAAAAATCACTTTTAAATTGAAAAATAAAATTTAAATAAGTTCAGAATACATCTAGAGAAGAATGAGGGGAGGAATGCAAGTGAGGAAGCTATTTGAATGATTTTCAGGGTTTTTCTTCCTTTTTAATTTTTCTTTTGTTTGCAATATCAAATATAAAAAAAAGTTTAAATGCTTATAGAATACTGTTTGCAATTATTAATTATCAGTGACTAGCAAATTTAAATTAAAATCTGTAAGCATATGTATTCAGTTCCAGTTTGATGTAGAGATTAAGAGACCAGGCTAGAAATTAAGAGACTGTGAATTTTAGTCTCACTTTAGGCATGAAATGACTCCTTTGGGGTAGTCACTTTCTCTCAGCCCTAAGAAGAAGGCACATCAACAGGTCATGCAGGTCAGAAAAAGAATGTGAGGGGGCAGCAGCACAGGTCAGAACACTGAGTGAATGGTACAGGCTTTCCTTCCTCCCCCTTCTAGCAGGTGGTTGAGTGGCAGCTGATGGGTGGGAGAGGGAGCAATGGATTGCAGGACTAGCTGGAAAACATTGAAAATGAAGATTAAGCAACTGCAGCAGCAGCTCAGTAGTAGCCAGTACCACTGAAGCAGCTGCAAATTTTCCAAATTTCATTCCCTCAAAAATAAGTCCCAGATTTTCGACACTGTCTGTAAATTAGTCCATTTGAGATACCTTGCTTCAAAAACTGTTGCAGTATAATGCAGTGTTTCATCCATTTAAAGGTCAGGGCAACAAGATTCTTAATTTTAATGATCACATAAGAATTAAGGGATATGCACGCCCCCAAAAATTATGATATTATTTTTATTAACTTTTTAGTACAAATAATAGTTATTATAGTTTTGGTCTAATAAAATTTTATATATAATCCATTGATATTTTTCTGAGTTTTATTATTTTTTTCAATGAAATGTTTTAAAATATTGACAAATAGGTTTTGCAGAGATTACAGGTCACAAAGAAAAACAGTATAGTATGCAAGAAACAACCTTGAAGAAACAAGGTTAATGGAATCTATCTCAAACATTACAGCATGAGGGTGGTTTGTTCTCCAAGCTCGTTGCTTGGTTTCTGAACATTTCATTACTAGGCTAGGTAACATCTTCAGCTGAGTTTAGGGGATGTCATTGTCAGTGTTCTGTTTATAAGGGCTTCAAATATATGAGGATGTTGTGATGGGTCAAGTGTCAGTGAATGTTGTCATGGGTCTTGAGATGGGGAGTTTACATCAGGCCAGGGTCATTGGGAGGTGACCTACTGGTCATCCCCTAAACTCAGCTGAAGATGTTATCTAGCCTGGCACCGAAATGTTTGGAAACCAACCCACAAGCTCAGAGAACAAATCTTCATCCTCATCCTACACCAGTGGTTCTCAACCTGTGGGTCGGGACTCCATTTGGGGTCGAATGGCCATTTTATAGGGGTCGCCAAACAACGCAGTCTATCATTTCCCCCCCCCCCTTTTCCTTAGCTGTGCTACTCCCTTTTATTCTATTGGCTTTTGAAAGCCAATAAAATAGACTCTCTTGAATAGAGTCTAATTCTATTGGCTTTTAAAAGCCAATAGGAATTGTCCAGGCTGTCTCTGCCCTGCTGAGCCCGCCAAAAGTCCCATTCTGCAAACGGTGCTGCACCAGTTGAGTAGTCCTCGACTTACGACCGGTTGGGGGTCACAGCATTAAAAAGGTTGAGAACCACTGTCCTACACCCTGAGCTACAGATATTCACTACTATTGCATTACAGCATATCTTTGGCATTTTTTTAAAATCAAGTGAATCTATAAAGCCCTTAATTTACTAAAATTATTTTAAGAATTGTAGAATTATATAGTTAAAATCAGCTAGCAATTCAAAAAAGTAGTGCAAGATCGGAAGACATGTAGAGACCCGGCACATGAAAAGCAGCATAATCGTGAATCAATAAAGCTTCAATTCTACTTGCAGTTACTTGGCTTAGAATGCCCTCCTCCCCAGATCCAGATAAAATGTATCTTATTTTGACACAAAAATAAGAGTATCCCCAAAAGCGTTTGAAAGGTTGCAATAAGCCTAATGGCGATGTTGCATTGGGGACTTTTAAGCATTTTCCATAAGGCAGCGTTTCTCAACATTGGCAACTTTAAAGTTGTGTGGACTTCAACTCCGAAGTTGGAAGTCCGTAGGTCTTAGATCTAGGGGCCAAGGCATCAGGCTAGAAAGAGACTGGGCTTGCGTGATTTTGTGCCACCTTTTCCGCAGTATCTCTCAGCCTGTCACTCTTTCTCACCTCGCAAGGTTATTGTTGTGGGGAAAAGAGGAGGAAGGAATATTAGAAATGTTCGCCGCCTTGAACTACTTATAAGGCGTGATAAAAAAACAACTAAAATAAAAATCTTCAAGTTGCCAAGATTGAGAAGAGCTGCTAATAAGGAGACCTCCCAAGGAAAGGGCTATCGTCGACTTCGGCCCCCAATTCACAGTCGGCGGCCCAGGGTGAATCCCCACCCACTTCGCAACCGGAGCGAAAGGGCGGAAAGATCCGTCTCCCCCCCCCCCCTTTCTACAACGGATCTCCTTCCTTAGGCTGCTGAGAAGACAAATCCATCCGCGTTCTTTCTTCGACCCGCCCCTCGGCGATCGGCTGGTCGAACTTGCTCTTGCTTTCCCGTCGTGCCCTGCGCTGTGCCCCGCGATTGTTGCTCTGTCACGGTCGCCGCCGGTGCGTGGAAGACGGAGCCATGAAGCAGGAAGGCGGGTCGAGACGCCGCGCTGGATCCGAAAAGGCCAAGCTCCCTCCCGCCGAACCCCCTCAACCGCCCCCTCAGGCCGCCGATGTGGAGATGCAGGAGGAGGCGCCTCCGGCCGAAACTGCTTCCGCAGAGAAATCGCAGCGCGAGCTCGATGCCGTCACTCTCGAAGGTGGGGGGGGGGGCAGTAGCATCATACGCGAGTTGAGGGCTAAGGTAGAGCGGCAGCGGCCAGAGAAGTGGGAAGGGGAGGGGCCTAGAACGTTCTCCGTTCCCGTTCCCATCGTAGTTAGGGCGTAGTGCTGGTGGGGTGCTGCCGAAAGTTGCAGGGGCTCCAGTTAGTCAGTTTTGAGGGCGGAATTGCGATTTGGAAAGCGGGGTGAACAGATTGGGATTGTTTCTTGAGAAAAGACGAAAATTACAGAGGTCTTTAAAGCTACTAAAGCGCTTAGAGAAGGGAGCCTAATTTAGGGAGGATGTGATGTACTGATAGTGTAAGCTATAATTCTTCATAGTTTGTTTAATACACTACAATTGCTTGCGGTGGCATTACCGCAGGGGTCTTCAAACTTGGCCCTTTTATGACTTGTAGACTTCAACTCCCAGAATTCCTCAGCCAGCGTGCCTGGCTGAGGAATTCTGGGAGTTGAAGTCCACAAGTCATAAAAGGGCCAAGTTTGAAGACCCCTGCATTACTGCTTTTAGCCCCTGTCAGCCATAGACAGAGACTTCCTTCCTTGATTTGAAAGCTAGTGACATTGGGTTTTTCTAGGGCTACCAGATCTGGCCTTTGAAAATCTGCATGTTGTTTTCTTGCATGGCTTACATTTGTTTAAATATTGGGAGCTTTACAGAGGAAAAACATAAAAATACAATCCAATTAGAAGATGTCTTGCTCAAAATTCTGACTTCTCATAAGTTTGTGTTGGCAAAGAAACAGATTTGGATAACAAAGTATTACAGTATAATTTATTATGTAGTAAGGTTGTTGTGGTTGAAAAACACTGGTCTAAAATAACCTGGCATAGCCCAGCTTGGATATATTTTCTATAGATTTTTTTTAAAAGGTTGTGGTATATGGCCAGCTTAGTAACATAGTATATTTTAATAGAGATGACTCTCTTATTGAAATAGTAAAGCTTAGTAGATGGTTCACAAAGTGGAATCTTAAAAAAAATAGAAACATAGAATAAAATCAAAATAAGCTAAAAGTGATAAAAATGCAAGAAGCACGAGCAATTGTATCTCTTTAAAAAAATAATAATGCTTAAAATTTTGTAAAAGTGGAAAATATTTTAATTTGATGCCAGAATATCAGAATATTTGTATTAGGTAAATCTCTATGGAAAAACATCCTCCAACCAAGGTCCAAAATTTGTTTCCTATCAAATTAATCTGTAACAGTGCCAGCATTCAGTTTTCATCATCCACAGATAACACATGGAGCTCCCACCACTTCAAAATAATGTTGACTTTTGCCCGTTTGTATTTCATTATTTTTCCTTTAGCAACTAAGGTAAAGTGTTCAGATTAAGCTGTAGCAATACATTGATTGAAATGGCAGTGTGAAGTCTTAGAGCAGGCTGGTTGGGAAGTTTTGGCAGGCCACACATCTTAAAAGTTGCTGAGATTGAAACACACTGGCTTAGAAGATACTGAAATCTGCATTATAACTCAGAAGCCATCATGGCTTAATTCACAGTCACTGCAAATATTTTTTTCATATTATAAGTAGATTTGATAGTTAAGAATTTGAGTAAGTTTGCTATTAGTTTAAAATAGCACCAGAATTATAGCTTAGAAACCCAAAAGTACATGATAAAACAGTAGAACAGTGTCATGTGTTTTTGTTATATGAATATTAAGTTGCTCCAATCAGTAGTGGGCATTTCCTGCCGCACTATAATGTCATCTTTATTGAGCTAACTTTGTTTATTATTCATTGCAGACATCAAAGAACATGTGAAGCAACTTGAGAAAGCTGTGTTAGGGAAGGAACCCCGTTATGTCCTACGTGCCCTCAGAGCTTTGCCCTCCACTTCCCGTCGCCTCAACCCCAATGTGCTCCAAAAAGCCATCAGTGGTTTTTTCACATCTAACAATGCTGTGCGGGACTTCCTCATCAGCTTCCTGGAGGAGGCAAGTTCCGAGGAGGCTGAGGTGGGAGATAAGCTGGGTATTCCCACTGAATTTTAGGAGGATTGCCATGTATTATCTCTGATTGTCAGGCCCAAAGAACCAAGGGCAACATGCAAAGTTACTTAGTTCCATTACTGTTGTTCACCAACAAACAATATCTTATCAAACTTAAACAACTACCTGTAATAGCTAATACTCTCTGAAATCCAAAGGAGGGTCCCATTTCATTCTCTTCCTGCCCGTCAGACATTTCAAACTCTGCTTTCTCTTTGTCATTTGGAAAAGAGCAGCCCCTCCCTCCTGGTACTCCGGATTACATTCTACCATACCGATATATTTAAGGATAATTTAAATGTTGAATTATGGACATGGGAAAGATGATCTTAAGCCATTGGTAAATTGGCTTTTATGAAAAAGGGAGGAAACTCTCTATTTATCTCTCTTCCCCCCCCCCTCTCTCTTTTTTTTTCTTATCACTCTATAGCCTATGGACACAGAAGTGGACCTACAGTTCCGTCCCCGCACAGGGAAGGCAGCTTCTGCTCCTCTTTTGCCAGAAGTAGAAGCATATCTCCAATTACTCCTGGTCATCTATTTGATGAATAGCAAACGCTACCAAGAGGTACTAGACTGACATTCCATATGTATTGTTTCCTAATTGAAAGCAAAGACTTGCCAGAAATTACACACCGATTTAGAGGATGGAAGAAAGAGCAGGGAAATAAGGAAAATTAGGTGTTATCTAATACTTTCCACACATATCCAGCTAATGGTTATATACAGGAGAGTGTACAACTGTAAGTGAATGTATTAGCAAGGGACATTACTAATGTATCAATTAAGGGACATTGCATCTTTTGAAGATTTCAGTCTATAAATTTGGGGTCAGATTTATAATCAGATAACTAGTGATAATTCTTCATTCAATATGCAAACTTTTTCCCCAAAGTTGATACTTATTTAAAATTTATATTTCCTATAATTATTACATACATTTCATTTATGCATAGC